CTTCTACGCCGTGTTCCACGTAATTGAGAGCGGTCAAAAGCCGTTTGATATTTTTGTAACTAACTTCGCGAGCGTCGCGTTCTCTTAAGATCTGCGATTTGATTTCTTCTATTTTTTGAAGCCGGTAAATTTTTGTCGCGTTTGTTTCGGTTTCATACCCGGTTAAACCTGGATACATATTTGACTGGTTGTCTGTCGTCATCTTTTAAAATATACCTGTTTTTAAAAAGTCCAACTCAATTCAATTCCCATCATCTTTGTTGCTTACCAGTTCACCTCGCTTTTTAAAAAAAATGTCAACTCGTCAATGTTTCTGTTTATGAACTGTTTCATTATGCGCAATAACCGAATCATGGTGTACAGCATCTACAAAGTCCAACATGTCCGAAGATTGGCCGTTATAAAAGTTGGTACAATGAATAAACACAAATTTCATGGGCCTTAAATTATACTTGCCTTCATAAATGACGAAGGGTAAAAGTTTTACCTTTAGCAGGTCTAACAAATCAGTCACTTGTTTATTTAGTTTCAACTTGAGGTGGGGTTCGTAAAGGTCGCCCTCTTTGACTCTGAATGAACTTTGAAAGACGCCCCGGAATCGCATTAAACATAAAGTCAAACCAACCAATGCCATAACACTCGGGTTCTCATGCAGTGGTTCCTTTTTTTGCCCTCTGGTAGTGATCGAGAGTCTTGACCGCGAAGTCTATCAAGTATGGGCTGTCTATATCCCGTGAGACGAAGTACTTTTGTTACGCCTTTTAGTAATTGGTTTTGACCCCGTTTGGGACTGGACGTAGGTTCTGGTAAAGGAGGTTCAGGTGGAGTTGGTTCAGGTGGGGTGGGTTCGGGTGGAGTGGCTTCGGGTAGTTATGGTAAAGGAGGCTCTGGTGAGGGAAATGGTGGGCGGGGCCCATACGAGGTGTAAAGGCAAGTCTTCTACAGTTGTATTCAATTTCTTTTAATTTTTCTAACTCAGCCAATCGCTGGCAGAAATCTTGTTCTGATTCCTCGTCTGTTTCTCGCTTAATTTGGTCTATTAAAAACCTCATTTGTTGATAAATATTTCAAACTCTTTGATCTTGTTCTGCAATCGCTTCGTCTAGTTTTGTCGTTAGCGTGCGCTTTCCAAAAGTCTTTGATAATTCGATCTAAAGCTTTTGCTTCTTCTCTTTCTTCAGGAGTACTTCGAGACCCAGTGGCAGCTCTACCATCCTAGCGTATGTCCCACTCGATTTCGATAGATTTTGTAATGTTTAAATACTCAAAGTCTAACTGTATATTTTTCACTCTAATGACCTTGTCGCCTTTTATATTATTAATTTCGTGTTTTAATTTAAACGTCTGTGGATATTCAGTCAAATAAAAAGTGCGCGTTTCCATTTTATTTTATAGGCGTTTAAAAAATATCTAGCTCGAGTTAAATTTTACCGTCTTTATTGTTGACGACTTCTTGCCGCTCGTTTCTCAACGAAAATTCAAAACTCGTTATTCGCTTATTTACGAATAATTTAGCGCTTTCGCTGGGGTCTGACGCGGTACACAACGGTATGAAGGTCGTCCGTTAAAGTAATTGAAATGGTCGTTTATTTCTCGACAGTGTATCCAATTAAAGCTCGTCAAAAGGATTTATGGCGTTTATCTTGACCGTTGTGGCAATAAACAATAGGGGAGCTGCACATTTTTGCACCTTGACCTTTAGTCATGGCCCGGTTTTGAAATGGTTAATTTACTTGGGTCAAGAGGACCATAAACGACATTGGGATCGTCAGTTACGATGTATCTTTGGTCTGACATGTCTTTATCAAGTACACATTTACTTTAGGCGCTTGCAAAATTAATTTAATTTTTACTGGAACAGAGTTACGCTTTAAAAGACTGAAAATTGGGGGTGGGTCACGAGTTCAGTCACGAGATGTTTGTGGAAAGTTCCCCCGCGAGTCAGAGGTCAATGTGTGTGTGTAAAAATCCACACGGGTGAATGGGGGTCGATGCGGTTGAGTTGATGAAGCGTGGGAACACAGTGGCTGGTCTTGAACTCGTGCAAACACAGTGGTTGGTCTCTAACTCTCTTATTCAAACTACTAAAGGTCTACACGAAAGGACCTGACTTGCCACGACTTAAAGTATACTTAATTCGGCACTGGGGAAAAGGCCTATATATAGACCTTTCAAAGAGGACATTTTTCCTTCTCTCCGCAAACAAACAGGCAATCAGAATTGTAATCCCAATTTTTATATTTCCTCCTTACTAAAAGGAATACCTTGCTCATTGCAAGCCATGATGTACCAGTCCATCCTCATGACTTGCGGATATTGGATCAGACGGGGTCAACTACGACGGTAACCGTTCAGCTAACGACGTTACAGGCTTCTGCATGCATGGGAAATGTGACATGTATATTTCAAAAATTAGAAGCAAATGCAATGAACGATTTTGTTTCCTTCAAAGAACACGGCATCATAATGAAGAGGCAAAAATGAGAAAGGGTCGAATGACATCCAAACCAAACTAGTCAGTGTTCTTCCGTTAGACCCAATTTCTACACTGGAAAGGCTTTCGTTTCAATCTTTTCTGTTGGAAATATTTTGCTATTTTAGAAGATTGTTGTTCAACAAATCAATTAAATATGAAGGGAAGGAGAGAGCTTTTTAATCTTAAAGTTCTCGTTTTCAGAGCGAATATTCATAGGCGCAATTGGCACTGTGTCAAGGGCCTTAAAGAGAAGGGGGTAATCAAATTTTGATTGGCAACGAAAACGTCTATTCTCCCAAAATGAAACACCTTCGCAAACGTAAAAAAAGTTGTTAATCGGTATCAGAATGGGATGCATTTACATTTTTGGTTTTTGTCAGGAAGATTAGAAATACACTTAATGAATTTGTCAGGAAGATTAGAAATACACTTAATGTTTTTGTCAGGAAGATTAGAAACACACTTAATGTATTTGTCAGGGAGATTTGAAATACACTTAATGTTTTTGTCAGGGAGATTTGAAATACACTTAATGTTTTTGTCAGGGAGATTTGAAATACACTTAATGAATTTCAACGATGAATTTCAACTGTTCCTTTTATTCTTTCTATTGCATGGCATGCCCAAATTTTCCAATTTTACAAATTTGAAACTTGAAAAAATGTTTTTCCATAGCAACCTCTTAGCGGTGTACCTTTTTTTAATTGCACCTCTGGGGTTATTCAGGAAAATATGATTGTATAAGTTTCGCGAGAGACGTGTCCTTTTTTACGATAACAGATCTCAACGAAACTTTGCAAGATTTAAAAAGTGCCTTGCGACAATATTAATATATAGTATGGGGAGTGTCGTGGCCCCGCCCCCTCTATGCTTTTTGCATTGCTAATTAGTCTGATGTAAACTCACTTTTAAGTCACAGTTTCAGATTGGAACTTCCCTTTTATGTTGTCTCTCATTACTGGGTCACAACAGTACAGACAACAAAGAGGCAGAGGAGGGGAGTCTTGGATCTGGACTATGTGGGAGCAGGAACCAGTCAACGTTCCAGGTACCGGCCTCGTTTACCGGCATCAATTCGTTTCATTGCCTAGACCTTCGCGTGCTCTTAGCCCAAAATGATTACCTTCAGACTGCAGAGGGCGCTAAATTTACTTTGGTTCGTTTCCCACGTTGAACGAAGGTCTTGGGCATTTCGTTTGGCATTGCTTGTTTTTTCATTGTTTTACCCGATTTTTTGGAAAAGCCAATCCAACAGCTTCTTTGAGCTCTATATCGAATTTTTCAGTTTAGTGTATGACGCCATCCAACAGAAAATCGAAAGAAAATGGCATCCCGATCTGAAAGTCCGAAAATTTCCCTGTAAAATGCTGTATGTGGGCGGTTGTAACATTCCTGTGAGATTCACTAGTAATATACTTTTAGGACAAATAAGCATTCATCCTTACAATTCTCAGTCCGGAGGAAAAATAGTCAAAAGTTGTAGCAATGAAGCGAGTGGAGACATTACACGTAGGCTTACAATTTTGGTTTGGTTGGTTGGTTGGTTGGTTGGTTGGTTGGTTGGTTGGTTGGTTGGTTGGTTGGTTGGTTGGTTGGCTGGTCGGTCGGTTGGTCGGTTGGTTGGTTGGTTGGTTGGTGGGTCGGTCGGTCGGTCGGTTGGTCGGTTGGT